ATTACAAAGGAAACTCTGGCAAAATTTTTCTAAAAATTTGGGAAATAGTGAAAGGTGTAGGAATCTGCGTAACATGTTTTCAAAACCAACTGGTCTTTGAAATACTGAAAAGTTTGAAATAGGTCCTCATTCGGGGACGAATGATTTTAAGTGGGGGTGGATGTGAGGCCCCGTAAAAAATTTTGGCTCAAAACCTAGTATCTTGTGGTGTCGACTCCGAATATGTGTTAGGAATGCGTTCGGACCCTTGGTATTGATCTAAGCTTGTAAAAATCAAAAGTATCAATTTTTCCAGAAAATGCTATTCTGCGGCCCAGAATGCGGTCGCAGATCTAGTATGCGGACCGCATTCCTACCGCAGAGTGAAACAGAAGAGTTTTCAAAATTAATGTTGAAAATGCGGTCTATTATGCGATCGCATAACCAATATGCGGACCGCATAATCTTAATCGCCGCATAAGTTCCTCAAGGATTTGTGAAGGTCAGTTCTGCGGTGCACAATGCGACCGCATAACAGGAATGCGGACCGTATTCCTGTCGCACACCCGAACAGACTCCTCAGAGTTTTGGGGGCACTTCTGCGGTCCAATCTGCGGACCGCATTTCGTTTCTGCGATCACAGAATGCGACCGCAGATCTTGCTCGGGCTTCTAATTTTCTAAATTTTAAAACCCGACCCCTTTGAAATAAAACACCCATCCCCCTCATTCTTTAACGATCTTCTGCACAAAATAAGAGAGAGGAAGAGAGGGTTTTGAGAGAGAAAGTCATCTTCTCCAAAATTTGGTTCTTCAAAACTATCCGGGCCGGGAAATTTCAAGCTTATCTTCATCCCCCTTTTCTTGCAGGTAAAATCCCTAACCCTTTTCATTGAATTTCAGGTTTAAACTAAGGGGGGGGGGGGGAGTCTCATGCATTGGTTCTTGAAAATAATGGTTGAACTCATACATGCATGCCTTTCTATAACCTAAAATCTAGTAGGAGTAGTTGGGTGGGAGCAAAGACTTATACAAAGAAGGGGCTGATAACCTAGATAAGTTTGAGAAGCATTTGTGAACCCCAATTCTAAGTTATGTGTATTAAATTGTGCACTAGATTGACGTTGCTAGATTATTTGGTGAATTGGAAATAGAAGTTAAAAGGAAATTCGGCTCCAGGTATGTATGGCTAACTTTGATCTTTGTAAAATCACCTTGCTTGGTGTTCCATATTTGGTACGTGTTGTCTACGTGGGTTATTTGTGAAGTTAAACTCTTGCTAGTAATATGTGTTTACTTGTGTGAACCATTTGTGAATTCATGTAAATATTGTGCCTTAAACGTTGTTGGTTAAGACGTCTGATATGATTGTGCAAGTAAATGGCAATAAACCAAGTTGTGATTGCGAATGTGTTATGTGGTAAGAACTGTGGAATAAATGATGGAAAGGAATCGAGATTGGTGAAAATTGAGATAACTGTGGTAACATCCTTTGTGGCTAGTTGTGGAAAATCATTGTTGTGATTTAAATGGTACAACGGACTGTTGAAAAAGATGGAAATGGCATTGATAGTCATATAAACCTTGTGTGAGTTGTGTTGTTGTTCCTTGAGATGTGTTGTCGTTGTTATTGGGATTTGTTGTTGTTGTTCCTGAAACTTGTTGTTGTTCTCCTTGTAAATTGTCATTGATGTGGTATTGTTTGTGAATTGTGATTGCTCGGTGGGATCGGGTTGCGCGCCGCAACACGAAGTAATAAGGTGTGGGTTGTGGTGATAAGGGTGGCCGAGGTAATAAGGGTGGAAAGTGATCGAAATCACTATTAAAATGAAATTATGAACAAATTGTGAAACTATTGATGTGGAAATGTGGAAGGGGAAAACAGGAGAGATTGTAAACTTGTTTGGCTTGATTGTTCCTTCTTTGTATATTTGATTGTTATTTCTATTACGATTACATACTTGCTTATAATTGTGAAATTATTGATGTGGAAGTGTGGAAGAGGAAGCAGGAGAGATTGTATACTTGTTCGGCTTAGTTGCTCCCTCTTTGTTGATTTGATTGTTGTTCTTATTACTGCTACATACTTGTTTATGGTTCGAGTTTACTTGGAGCAAGGTTTGTTCATACATACCAGTACAATTCAAATGTACTGACGTCCCTTTTGTCGGGGGCGCTACATTCGTGTTATGATTGTAGGTGGATCCGTAGCAGGTACTCCAGTCCACCGATCGTAGCTCCCCTTCGTCCTCCATCAGCTTTTTGGTGAGCCCCTTTCCTCTCGGGGCCCTGCGTGGCTCAGGCCGCTTGTTTTCGGAGTTTTATTTTGATTTTTTTGTGAAAGGTATAGCCGGAGCCTTGTTACCGGCAAATACTATATTATCCTGTTGTACTTTTAGAGGCTCCGTGGACAGTAGATGTGGGTTAAGAACTTGTGTAAATATATGTTCATGTGTTGGGCAAAGAATTTGTAATTTCATTAACTATTATGTACGTATATATGTGTTGCAAAAAGGTGTTCTAAGTTAATTATATGGCTAATTCTTGGAATATTGAGTAAGGAAAACATGGGGTAACACGTGGGTTAGGAAAGGCACCCAGGTCCGCTTGACTGGGGCTACCCGGTCGGGCGCCGGTCATGTCCCTCGAATTTGGGGCGTGACACCTCCCGGATACGTAGGCAACCAAAAAAGGTTCAGTCATAACCCAAGGAAAGCCTTTGCAATGGCTTTGTATAGATTAGGAATGATCATGACGCCAAGAAGCTAGATCATCAGGGGCATATCCAGGAGATCGTCATCAACAGGACAAAGCCATCCAGAAATGATACTCGTAGAAAGAAATTCTAAATATGTCATAATCTGGAGCAACGACTTTTGCCATAAGCATAAACGATTTTTCAAAATATCTTTTAGAAATGCTACTCTTCCACCTACCAAACTTCGTGGCATAACCCGCCATATCCGAGGCAAGGACAAGTCTACAATCAACACAAATCAAGTCTTCGACGCAATCAAAGCGCCCTGTATATATCAAATCGTTTGTTCTGCCAATTGGAGCACCTTGTACATATCAAGTCACCGGCCCCGCCAATTAGAGCCCTGTTTATAGCAAGCCGTCAGCTTCGCCAATTGAATTCACGTTTATAGAAAATTGTCCGCTTCGCCAATCAGAGCCCTGTATATAACAAATTGTCCGCTTTGCCAATCGAATCCCTGTATATAGCCAATTGTCCACTTTGCCAACTAGAGCACTTTGCACATATCGCACTGTCAATTCACCACATCGGAGATTCCAAATAGATATTTGCAAACCTCGTCACCGACCTCTCCAATCGAAGGATGGACCATCCAATTCCGCCACACGTTCGACCGATTGACGGTCGCAAATTAGTTCTGCAGTCAAGAGTATCTCTTGGGCATGGTCATTTATTTCTCCGCTTTATCTTGAATGTTTTGACGTTTTTATTTATGCAGCTTACAGGCTTTTTTTACATTCGAAGTGAAATACTCCCATCGCATGGAGATACTCCCATTGTGTGGAGATTTTAAATTCAAGTCAGCTACTCCCTTCGCGTGGAGATTCAAAATGCTCTGATAGATGTGGAACGATACACAACCCGACTAACAATCAAGTCAGATTCAAAAGCCCATCCCCGACATCCCATATAATGCTCCAGAGCTCGGAGACTTCAAATTCAAATATCACATCGCCCCATGATTCCAAATAACAGCTAGCCGGCAGTCAGACATCATCATTCCTGCATATTTACGTTATATCTTAACATATTTTCATTGCGATATATGGGTATGCATGTATCTTCTTCTTTTGCAGGACCAAACTCTACAATGTGGAACTTCTTCTAAGCAGCAAAACAAGTTACACCGCTACGAGGGACAACAAACTCATAAGCGAACTAAGGATCCAAACTCCAACTCAATCCAATTAGTAGAACTCCAAAATTGTCAAGTCTTTCAATATATCCTAATCAAGCCACAATCTGTGAAGTCATTCGGGTTCCAATATCGTTCCAACTTGCAGTATCATCATAACACGATACTAGGGAAATTCCTGCAAGCGCCACTCTTTTCGAATCATCATTCCAGAACTACATGAGGCCTTATCCTCATTAAGCCCGATGTATGTAGGCAATTCAAAGCAAAAATTCAGCTCCTGATCTCACAACTCATGATCTTCCCCAATCCCGTGTACCATCTGTGCAATACATGCCTAGAGTCGGGACAAAATTGGTCTTTAAGTCAATTTCTTTGCCCGCAAACTCTTTATCATCTCCAGTCAAAGAGGGAAAACTATTGACGATCAATTTTGACTCTCCCTTTTAAAATTAAATTAGTTATGCTTATTGATTAGCAATACATGTGGTAAAATATTTTTAAATCAATAATACCTATTTTCTAAAAACATAATGGGTAATAATTAATATTGTTGAGTTAACAACAATTTGGTATTAAATATTTATAAATCATATTACTCTTACTATTTTGAATCATTAAAATAACCTTTATATATCAAAAAAAAATCTACAATTAAGTTAATGAAATAGTCTTTAATTTATAATTATATTGTCTTATTTGCTTTAATTAAACAAAAATAGTTTCATAATTAAATAAATAAAATATTATAGAAATTAATAATTAATTATAGTAATTAATAATATATTTGATGATTATATTTATTGTATTTAATTAAGATTAGTTAACTATAATTAAGTTGATTTTTAAAAGGGGTTAAAAGCTCAAAAGGCTACAATTACAATTAATCAATTAAACTCAATGTGGCCCAGTGTTAAACTGTATTTCATTTGTTTTAGCCCAAATACATGAGCCCAAACACCCCTGACCCGGTCCAGACCCACCCTCTCTATCCCATGTTGGAAATCCACGCCATCTCTACCCCTAACATGAAGCATGGGGTAGATTCAAGCAGTATTTGGTGAGATCACCAATTCATGGGTTTCCAGAAAAGATTTTGTTGGAGAAGTTTTACGCGGGTTTGGATCATATGAATCAATCCGTAGCCAACAATGCAGCTAATGGATTGTTCATGGACAAAACCTTTGCAAGCGTCACTCAAATCCTCGACAAGGTGGCCGAACACAACCAATCTTGGCATTCGGGAAACACAGCAGGTGGAGTTTCACATGATACCCCTTATTTGACCAACATTGTCAAGGAAAATCAAGAAAGAGATCAATTGATTGTCGAGCTTGCTACCAGTATCAATGTTTTGACGAAAATATTTACGGAAAGCCAAACAAAGAAATTGAATGTTGTGGAAGAAGTACTGCCAATTTCAAATGCCAATTATCAACATCAAGAAGGCCAACAACAAGACTATCCTCCAATGCAATACGAAAAAGCAAACTATGTTAACAATTCACAAAGAGCATATCAAAGACAAGACTACCAAGGGTCGGGACAACAACATCTATGGAGACCTAACCGAAAGAGCAAGGTAACCAACAATGGCAAAATGATCAAGGTAGTTCTAATCAAGGAAATTTCAGCAACAACAACAACAACAACAATTTTGTGAATCGAAGTTCAAACCCCTATGTTCCACCGAAGGGGAAATATTCTAACTCTCTACATTGGAGGGAAAGTTCTTCAAGCGATTCCAAATTGGAGAACATGATTGAAAGAGAATTGCAAAATCAAGAGGGATCTGACACATTAATGAAAAACACGATCGAGCTTGTGGGTTCTTACACCGTATATATTCAAAAGTTGGAGATACAAATGAGGGATCTCTCAAAAGAAAAAACCCCAAAACAAAAAGGTACGTTTCCAAGTTATACGATTGCGAACCCAAAGGGTAGTGGGGGTGGCCCAACCTCTCATTGTATGTCCATTACAACTCGAAGTGGAAAACTACTTCAAAGTGAGAGTGAACGGGTGGTCGAAGAGGAAGATGAGGCAAAAGTTAAGGTGCCAAATGTTGTTGAAGTTGAGAGAATTCCAAAGAAGGTGGAGGCTCAAGATGTGAGCCATGAAAAGGTTGAGGAAAAAGTAATAGAGACACCAAAACCTCTAGCACCGATTCCTAGACCTCCCCCTCCATTTCTTCAAAGACTAGCCAAAAGATTTGATGATAGAAAATTCGAGAAGTTCTATGACATCTTAAGGCAATTATCGGTGAACATTCCGTTTGTAGAAGCGTTTCAAGAAATGCCCGATTTTGCTAAATACTTGAAGGATTTGATCATGAAAAAGAAGACCATCAAGAATGAAACAGTGAGTGTCACCCACCGGATTAGCTCCATCATTTCAACAACCTCCGTCTAAAAGAAAGAGGATCTGGGGGCTTTCACCATTCCATGCACTATTGCATTGCGTGACTTTTCACGAGCTCTTTGTGATAAAGGGGATAGCATAAACTTAATGCCTCTTGCTATCTACAAGCAAACAGGATTGGAAATGACTAGGTCTGCGAGTATGAGGTTGCAAATGGCCGACCATTCGGTGAAGCGACTGGTGGGGATAGTGGATGATGTGCTTGTGAAAGTGGGGAAGTTTCTCCTCTCTGCCGACTTCGCTATTCTTGATTATGTTGTTGACAAAGATATCCGTATAATCTTAGGGAAACCATTTCTTGCAACCGGGAGAGCATTCATGGACTCGAAATAAATGAGATTAAATTTTGGGTTAATGATGAAGAAGTAACGGTTAAAGAAAGGGCATGAAATTGCCAAATGCATAAGAGAGTATCTCGATACTTGATGATGTTGATGTGGTAGAAGATGCCGTTGAGGTAAAGATGGAAGAGGAATGCCTTTGTGAGGCATTGGCTGCGATCTTGATGAATTTTGATAGTGAGGACATAGAAGGATATGTGGAAACAGTGAATGCATTGGAAGGGTTTGGTTCATATACTTACAAATTGAAGAAGCCTTCTCTTGACTTGGAGAATAGAGTCACTCCTCCTGCCAAGCCTTTATTTGTTGAGCCGCCCCAACTTGAACTCAAGTCACTGCCATCACACCTAAGGTATAAATTTCTTGGTTCTAATGAAACTCTACCCGTAATTGTTTCCTCTTTGTTAAATGATATGCAAGTTGAACAATTAATGGAGACCTTTAGCGAGCTAGACGAGCCATTGGTTGGACAATAGCGGATATCCAAGGGATTCCCGACGGTATTTGTGAGCACAAAAATCCAACTTGAGGAAGATAGCAAACCTATTATGGAGCATCAAAGGAGTTTGAATCCCTCCATGAAAGAAGTGGTGAAGAAGGAAATTATAAAATGGTAGGATGCCAGAGTTGTTTACCCCATTGCAGAAGTCCTTGGGTAAGTTCGATGCACTGTGTACAAAAGAAGGGATGCATGACCGTGATTCAAAATGACAAAAATGAACTCATTCCTAAAGGACGGTGATCGGGTGGAGAGTATGCATGGACTATCAGAAGCTCAATAGTGCCACTTGCAAGGACAATTTCCCTATGCCTTTTATTGATCAAATTCTTGATCGGCTAGCGGGAAGGTCATTTTATTGTTTCCTTGATGGTTACTCTAGCTACAACCAAATCAACGTAGCCTGGACCAAGAGAAGACGACATTCACATGTCCTTATGGGATCTTTGCCTTTAGCCGGATGCCATTTTGGGCTATTCAGTGCCCCGACTACCTTTTATATTTTATAGTAAAGGTAGGAAGGAACAAAGAAAGCAAGACATAGAGAAGAGCCATCTGAGACCAAGTAGAATACAAAGTTTTCTTTAATATTTTATAGTTAGATTTCGTTTTAGAATTTATGTAATAAGGCTCTGTGCCACTACTGACTCTATTTTATTATTTTGTTTTGGTAATAGAGTGATTTGATTTATTTTGCGTTACTGGAATGAAACAATGTTGGCACAAATTTCTCCAATTTTACTTGTCGCTTAGGCCTACCTCGGGCACAACTAGGTCCCCAAATTAGGACATGAACCATTGAATGCCTTATGTCCTATCTGTTTAAATTTCGCAAGGATTTTTTAAATTTACCTTACTAACTTGGCTACCTTTTGTTTTTCTTTCTTTTGGTTATTTCCATTCCCAAAGATTGATTCGTGCGCTCTGGCAACATCAACATACCACACCAGATCTAGAGGTCTTCCGCCTCCTCCCCTCCTAGCAACATCAAAAGCAAAGGTAAAGGGAAGATGGATAATTTGAGTGGCAACGGGAAAGAAAATGCTCCTTTGGCAGAGAACATAGAAACCTCAGATGGGAGAAGTACACCGGGGCAGAATGAACTGGTTCTGCGATTAGAGCAAAAAATTTTGGAATTGCAAGGTGAACTAGAGCAGCTCCGCAACCTCGCCAACTTGTCCCTCACGTTAAACGTCCCAGATATCTACCACCAAAATGCTACTACATAAGACAACCCCAAAATCCGCAACCTCAAGATCCATAAAATCCCCCTACCACTCAACAATACCACAACCCCACACTCCCACAAAACCTGAACCCTCCACCATTGCAAGTTCCACAACGATGCCATTACAACAAAACTCAATACCTGCAAACGCCACCTACCCATCTCCCAAACTGCACCACAACCTACCCACGAACTACCCCAATCATCCATCAACGATCATCCATATCCCCAAGCCCCTGTTACCCACCAAACCAATCCTATATATGTGGAAACTCTATCATACACATAACAACAAACTCTATACACACCCGAACCTACCGAAAAAGGACCTTCTCATTAAGAACATGGCTGAGGAGTTGAAGAAATTATCCGGAGGGGTCCGGAGTGTCGAAGGAGGAAAGGGTATTGAAGGCTTGAACTATGAAGACTTGTGCATTCAACCGGATGTAGAACTACCCGAGGGTTACAAAGCCCTATAGTTTGAGATGTTTGATGGTACTGTTAATCCCAAAGCACACTTGAGGACTTATTGTGACAAACTCGTAGGTGTAGGCAAAAACAAGCAAATCCACATGAAGCTATTCATGAAAAGTCCAATAAGGGATGCCTTAAGATGGTATATCAGTCAAAACCCAAATAAATAGTCTAATTGGGTGAGTATACTATCCGATTTTATGGACAAATTTAAGTTCAACACGAAGAATGCACCAGATGTGTTCTACATTCAGAACCTCAAGATGAAACCCATGGAAACTTTCCGTGAGATGCTACCCATTGGAGATTTCAAGCCGCTAAAGTAAGGCCATCATTGGAAGAAGAACAAATGAATAAGTTCTTCATACGGGCTCAGGACCCGCAGTACTATGAAAGATTTATGGTCATAGAAAACCACAAATTCTCTGACATGATCAAGCTAGGAGAAATAATTGAAGAAGGTATCAAGAGTGGCACGGTTACCAATTTCGAAGCTCTACAGGCCACTAATAACGATTTACATTTTGGAGGTATCTTAAAGAAGAAAGAAGTGGGTATCGTGTTGGTACCCCAAGGGCCACAATCTCCCCTCAGCTATCCAACACCCTTGCCAATATATCATCCCTCATCCCCAAAATACCATTGTCCTTCCACCACCTACCATACCTACAATATCCAACCAGCATACTATCACTCATCCCCACCTGCCCGACAGAACTACCATAAACCCCGAGCCAACTTTGACCGTAGACCTCCCAAGCAATACACCCCTCTCGCCAAACCAATAGCCAAATTGTATGAGAGACTTAAAACTACAGGTTACATCACTCCTATCCCCACAGCTATATTCGAAAAATCAGCTCAGTGGATCAGCCCCAACAAAACGCATGCATATCTCTCTAGCATGAAAGGGCACAATATTGAGGAATATCACATGTTGAAGGATAAAATTCAGACACTGATTAATACTAAGGTAATACAGTTAAAGGATTCTACACCAAATATCTAAGACAACCCCCTTCCCGACCATAGGGATGAGGGAGTAAACATGATTGAGACTGATGAGGATAGGACCAGGAAGGATCTATAGGTCTTATTTGGTAAGGAGACACTGTCATGGCATCCCCTGTAACACCCTCACCAGTTGTGGTGCAAGTCAAGGCACCATTCAAAGTCGAAGAGGCTATACCTAGGCCACCATTCACTGTGATGGTAGATCCATCACCGACTAACCTATCTAATATAGTTCCATGGGACTATGTGGCTGAAGCAAGAAGGAAAGGAAAGTCCAAGGCGGAAGAAGCGGGCGTCGCCCAAGGAATGACTAAAAAAGGAAGGGTGTACACATCAGAGAATCTTGCCGCGGGAGGAACAAGTACAGAAGCTGCACCAAAACCACCTATTATGGAAATAGGTACAGATGATTTGTGGAGAACGGTACAAGAAAAGGAATATTCTGTTGTCGATCATTTGAACAAAACCCCTGCTAAAATATCCATCCTATCGCTGCTACAGAATTCAGAACATATAAGAATGCCCTGATGAAGGTGTTGAGTGATGCTTATGTGCCTGTTGGCATCAATAGTGGAGAAATGGCAAATATGGTGGGACAAATACTAGAAACACACAAGATCAGCTTCCATGAAGATGAGTTTCCACCAGAAGGTTTGAGTCACAACCGGGCGTTGCACATTACCGTGCAATATGAAAACAAGCTCATTGCGCGAGTCTTGATCAATGGAGGTTCAAGCCTGAATAAAGCCCTCTAACCACTTTGAGGAGTTTGGGTATAGGTATACCTGAATTACGGTTGGGGAGCATAAACTTTAAAGCATTCAACGGGTCCCAGAGAGCTACAATTGGAGAAATTGATTAGAGTTTGAAGATCGATCTGACCGTGTTCGATGTCAAGTTCCAGGTACTAGACATCTCTACCACTTGCAACTTGCTGTTGGACGGCCCTGGATACACATGGGTGGGGCAGTTGCATTTACTCTACATCAGGCTATGAAGTTCAAGTGGAATCATCAAGATGTGGTCGTTCATGGGGATGGTAACAATCCTATTTATACCAACCAGACCGTACCATTAGTGTAAGGCAAAAGGAAGTTAGGATGGGAGACATTCCACAACATCAAACGAGTAAACAAAATCGAGAAGGGACGATGATAGAGTGATGAAGTGTTGAGCATGCTACTTTGGCTGGGGTATGAGCTAGGCCGGGGTCTCAGCCCCAAGCTTTAGAGGATAACAGAACCAATATGGGACTCAGGTCACTACTTACGGTCTCAGGAATGCGTACATTGCGCAGGAGTATCAAGATTAGTCTCCACCATGGAACGACTTCTACCATCCATTTACTAAACCCATACCACCGTTGCACCATACATTCCACAAGGCTAACATAATTTAGGGTCCGGAAGAAGATGAGATTCTAGTTCGCATGAGAAATTTGTTCCTACATAAAGAAGACATGGATTGCAACATGATTTTTGGAGAGGGGGAGGAGGATCTCACCATCAAGATGGCAGGAGATAGAGTTGTTCTAAGGAACTATACTGGTACACCGTCCAGGCTCGTTGAGTACCTGGGTAACTTTGGCAGACTAGCATAAAAAATTTTAAAAAAAAAGTTCCACTAGGCGTTGCACCTAGGGTTAATTTTCATATATGTATATATATATATATATATATATATATATATATATATATATATATATATATATATATATATATATATATATATATATATATAAAGTAATTTACAACAAAGGAGGGGGACATGAACCTTA